ACAGGTTCAGTGCTAAGCGCAAGGTAAGCCTAGAGAAAACTACATATAACTCATCAGGGCCTACATGAATGGTACAGGCACATGTTGCAGTCAGGATCCGAAGGTTGTCACTGAGGGTTTCTAAGAGAGGATGAAGAGATTGAAGTTTTATGTCTGAAAGATCACACTGGCTTTTGTGGAGAAAAAGGATCGAGCAGATGGTTCGGGTGGTGAGCGGGTGAAATCACAAAGAAAGGAAGCTGCTAAATCAGGACAAGAAATGGCGGAGTCTTAATAGTGACAGTAAAGACAGAGTACAGTGGACGTTAAAGTGAAACAGGATATTTACTCTCATTCCCCAGAATGACTTTCACTTAAGACAGTGCTTTCTACTTCACGCAGTGAGGGAGGTAGTGATGGGTTCAAGCTAGTAAAATAATCTTGCTACTGAGCAAATGTCTCCTAGAATTATGACTGTAGAATTATTTCAGTTTAGTAATCAGATATAGGAATTCTACATTTAATTGCTTACTGATTATAGTCATGAGGATGACAATAGCTAAAAAAATAATTTTATTGATCTTATTCCTACTGAACAGAGAATACTTAGCTACTGCAAAGAACAAATATCTGTTTCAGGTCATAAATCTGGCAAGTGGAAGAGCAAGAGACTTCATCCTTGGAAGTCCTGCTGTAAGATCCCCTGTTCCCAGTGATTTCATTTGTCCACAGTGACAAACTGAAATACAATCTTTCTCCATAGAATTCAGTCTGAACATTTAAAATTATTTTTTTCCCATTAGATCTGAATGTCCTGAACAAGCACAATAGTTTCTGTATCACTCATGTCTCGGAAATGTCACAGGAGGAGTACACAGAGCAAAATCTACATGTGCTTTTTGCAGATTTGGACTCAAAAGAATCAAACAAAACACAATGTGTTTAAATAATGAATATTGCTTTCCTTTCGCCATAAGGGGATTGTAAAACTTGAAAAACCATTCAGCTTTCAAAACATTCCATAGTCCCCACCCACAGATACCAGAAGGTGCCAGTTTGAGCCAACTCTGAGTTCAGGAATGATTTTCTAAATATTAGATCAGATTTCCTGAATGTCCATAGTCTAGATGAATATTTACCAATGTCCTAATTATTCTGATGAAAAGTACTTTGCAACTTTATCAACCAATTAATTCAATATTTCAAAAAGGTATGATAGTGAAGTGCAAATGCAAAAGAAAAAATGATAGGCTATTATTACTTAAAGTAAATTGCGAATCACTGCCTAGGGTCCCTGAAATAGAAGTGTGTTGTGCAGAGGCTCAATTTCAATAGACTTTGTCTCTTATTACATAATGAGACTAATTTCCTCAATTTCAGGAAATTTTTTTTGCAGAGGTAAAGAATATAATGCTTATTATACTCATTATATTCGTTGAACTAATGTTTATTGGAAGCATGCCCCACGGCCAGCACCCCAAAACTAAACAATGATGGATACCTAGGAGAGCCTGAAAAAGTTAGAAACTAAACAGCGTTTCTTAGAAGTTATAAATTTTTGCTAGGCAGTGACATACAAAATGGCAAAATACCTTGTTTTCTGGCCCAGCTAGGGAGATGGACAAGTGAAGATAAAATACAATAAATGTGACCAAAGAAATAGAGCTTGCCCCCCAAAATGTATATATACTTTAGGAAAAAACAAACTTGTATTTTATAAACTAAATTTATGGAGACATCAAGAGATCCATACAAGTTACCTTTAGCCTGCACAGTTACAAGAGGTGCTCTAAGTGGTGACCATGAGCTTCTTGGTATCAGGAACCTGCTGTTGAGGACTTGATCACTGAGACTGCTGCATGTGCGTTTTCAATTTCTTCTCTAAGGGCAGCAGTGAAGTGGGTTTTCTGCAATATACGACAGACTCTAGGGTCCCTCATACGAGGGCAACATCACTTGTTGATAAAACATCATGCTATTTTCTTTTCTTGAAGTGGGAACACATTTTTTTTTTTTTTGGCAGAAGCTATACATTAAATGTGACAGTTAACCACTTAGTTTTTCCCAAGTGTCACTTTGGCAGTGCATTTGTTTATGTATTGACTATCCCAAGCATTGCTTGGGTAGGTAGCATTTCAACCAGTAGGTTCTTATTTGTATGAGATACACTTGTACATCTGTTTGTTTGTTTTATATTCTTTTTTGCAACCATTTTAGAGTGTTGTATTCACCTTTGATGGTTGTTTTCAGTGAAATCTATTAAGTTCTGGGTATTATTTTTTTTTACTAACAGGTTTATTTGCAAAAAATAACCCATAATTTTGTGCTGCAATATATAAAGTACATCATATATAATTTGTATACTTAGGAACTCAGTAATATTCTTACAAAACAAATACATAGGCCAGGGATTTAGCTCAGCAGCATAAACCCCTGCCTGGCAAGCGCTAGGTCATGAGTTTGATTCCTGGTACCAAAAAGATAAATAAACAAAACAAACACATTTGGGACACTGACACTGAGTAGGAAGGATGCGTGCCAAGACATATGCAACAAGAAAAACTGAAAAAGGGAGAAATGTTAGCATTTCAGAGAGGAAATCTGCTATGAAATGGAGAGACAAAAAAGACATCTCATTACTGTCAACTCTTTTTTTAAAATCAGTACCAGGGATCAAACTCACGACCGCCTGCTTGCAAGGCAGGTGCTTATGCCGCTGAGCTAAATCCCTAGCATCAACTCTTTATAATATAGAAAGGATAGCACTTGAAAGAAGACATGAATCTAAAAAAGTTCCACTGGCAGTCAATGATAATTCTATGACCAGTGTTAACAGAGTTGACCAAAATCTAAGAAGCTATTCTGTAATCAAAGAGCGAGAAAAAAATATTGTGAAAGATTTACCAACCTTCTGGACTAAACAATATAGAACTCATTTGTTATTTATCCAAGAGTTCAAAAAATCATTTAAGATTTGTGTTAGGTCTAATAGATCAAATTATCAAAAATATAGACTAGGCAAAGGTCAACCATGATGCCCATTATCATCACCATTACATTTAGTGGGTAGTTATTTTACTGAAATTATACCACCCACACATAAAAAGGCCAATACAACAGTGTAATGTGTGTGGTTCAAAGAAAGATAGTAACGCAAAAAGAATTTGGAAAGAGTATACTACTATACAGATTGTAGTGTTTTGCTGTGTACTGAATGTTTTAAGATATATCATACACAGAACAATTACTGAATAAATTTTATAAAATTGTTTTTATACTTATAAAAATTAACAAAAATATGCATTTTTGGTCGTGTAACTGAATCGTTAAGGTTTATAGTGACGTGAACTTTTGTTGTTTTTTGAGAAAGGGTCTTGTTTTATAGCACAGGCTGGCCTTGAACTATGTAGCCCAGGCTGGCTTTAAACTGGCAGTGAGCCTCCTGCCTCAGCCTCATAAATGCTGTGATTACAGCTGTGTGTTAGTACACCCAGCTGTGATGTAACCTTGATTGGTTTAGCTAACACTGAATTAGTGCAGCACTGTTCTAGCTGTGTCTGGGTGACTGACGTACAGGCCATAAACAGGAGAGGAGACCCAGTCTCCCTGTGGCCTCTGGTGAATAAAATGGGAAAGGAGAAGAGTGTGCCTTTATGTTTCTTCGGAGACTGACTTTTTGCCACTGTCGTTGGATGTTTGTCTCTAGCTCCTGCTGGTTTCCAGGGCAGAGTCCTCAGCCTTGCAATGCAGACCACCCGGACTCACACCAGACACTGTGGCAAGCTCCAGGTCTTTATTTCTGCTCTCCAGTGCAGACACAGACATTTTACATTTTTTTTTTGTCTTTTTCATTTTTATCGGTACTGTGGATCGAACTCATGACTGCCTGCTTGCAAGGCAGGCGCTTATGCCGCTGAGCTAAATCCCCAGCCCCTACATTTTACATTCTTTCACCTCTAATTCCACAGGTGGCCACGCATGCTTTGTAAATTCTTTATATAATGTGTTAAATATACTGAGATATTGTATATCCATGTTTATTTTGGCAAGTCACAGCAAGATACCCATGTATATCCACCTACATATAAGCCTAAATGTCCATCAATTAATGGTTAAAAAACAAATGTGACACACATACACGATGGAACACTAGTAGTGAAAAAAAATGAAACACTGTCATTTGCAGCACAATGGGTGAAACTGACTGGAACTGGAAGACATCTGGTTAATGCAATAACCCAGACACAGAAAAAGAAATACAGAATGTTCTGTCTCATGTGGAAGCAGAAAAAAATCAAACTGCATATAGAACACTAATTAATAGAAGATGGGAAGGACATGGGACAGATATGTAAAGTTAACCCATGTTAATAAAAATTTAAAATATTATTTTAATAACTTTATAACATTGTATGAAATTTTGATTGTTTTCTGAGAATCCTTATGAAATGAATTAGTTGTACTCTAACAGTTCATGACAGGGTCATCCATGCATAATTGTTCCACTGGGTGGCGGCTTCCCAAAACAACAGTCACATATGTACTACTATCAGTGGTTCAAGTCATAAAAAATATGTTAAAGAAACCTTTCAACTCAACTATCCTGTGTATTAATGAAATATTTTTCTTGGAAGGCAAATGTCAAACTTACTTATTGTTTTCTCGATTAAAGCTTAGATTCACTGAACTTTTACTTTGGATACCTGTACTAGATACCTGGGATGAGTAACTTCAGTTTAAGTTATATTAATATTATAAATGGATTTTAAGAAAGAATTTATCTAAGTAATATTTTACATAGAAAACATTAATGCATAACTTGAAAAATCATAATGCAATCCTAGATGTTAACCAGAAAGCTTAAGAAAGAAAATAAGACTCCTTATAAAACCCCATGATCATATGAAAGCTTTTTGTAATTAAAAAAATTCAGACCCAACATAACGGTCAGTTGAGTAGGAAGCTAATCAGTATTCCAATATCACAGTAGTGCTTTGACTGAACAAATAATGGACAAGACAAACTTTCAAAGATATTTTATTTAAAATTCTCCATCTAAGAGAAAAGATATATATAACAATGTTTACACGTGCTTTAATAACTTATTTCACTGTACAATTTATATTCTATTTAATAATATAATAAACCAGCAAAAGACGATAATTAGCACTTAGAATCTGTTATGTAAAAAGCACTGACTGTGAGATATTAAACAGTAGTATCTACATGTATTTTATGACAGAGAACATTTCTACATATATTTTATGACTGAACATTTTATGTTCAATGTGTAACCCAAAACTAAGATGTCTAAATCTTTCTGATTCATGATGTGAAATTATTATGTGTCCTTCAGAATAGAACATGTCTTTCTTGTTAAACTTGGTAGGCGAGGGCAGAAAGGCTCTATCACTTTTATCCTTTTTACAAATGTTTTCCCTTACATATTACTTTCAGTTTTAAATAAACATCTGTATTTGTGTACACTCCTATAGCAATATAGTCTTAAGCACAGAATTACCTTAATCAAGTATTTGATCGCCAAAAAAAAAAAAAGTCCAAACTTAGTAAAGAAACCAAAGAAATGGACCCTTTAATTCTGCCAGTATAGCAACCCAGGAAAAGAATACTTCAGTAAAGTTTGTCCTGCAGTTCTTAAGTGATACAGGCAATATTGCAGTAACTTCAAAAATATAGGCAGAATATAGGAAAGAAGAGAGAAATCTTTCTGTTCTCAAAAGACCTTATATGTGTATTCTCTGATGAATTTTATAGTCTCGGAGTTACAAGCTTAGTGCCAAATTAGGCACACAGTGCGTTCTCCGAGAGGGAAATAAGATGGAAATGACTAACCAGTGAAATCTTAATTTCTTCTGAATAATTATAAATTCAGTTTTCTAAGGGGAAAAAGGCACAGGAGGCACACATTTCAATTTGGCTCAAAAATAATGACAATGATTTTTAAGAGTTGAAAATAACTAAAATAAAATTCAATTTCCTGTATTTTTAGCTATTGCCCAACTATAGGATATTGACAACAATAAAGAAAAAATATATTGTAGTTCACCATGATCACTGGCTACACACAGCTGGCTGACACTTCTACATAGTCTGAATTCTATGGACTAAGCAGGACAATAATTAATTTTAATTAAAAAATCTGTTTCCTCAATATCTTCTTCCTAAAACCTAAATTATATTCAAGATATTTCGGTTCTTTTTGTGAAACTGAAAACTTCAAATACTCTAATTTTCAGTTGACTGCAAAGGTATTACAGTAATCTTACACACCAAGAAATAATAAAGGATGGAAATTGAACTAGTATTATCCTGTAAAGGCTAAGTCAGATTTCACCTTGATACACGTAAATGTATGAATCATAAATATTAAAAAAATAGTAGTTGTGGTCAAGTTTATTGTATCTATAAGAGATAGCAATAATACTTACTAACTGTAAACGTAAATCTCAAAAGAGCATGTACACGAAAAAAACATTCAGTATAAAATGCACCATTCCCTATTGTGGCTCCGTGAAACTGTAGTGAAAGTAACATTAACTGCTGAGGATTCCGAGGTGACCAGGGACAGTGATGCTTCCACACCACTGGCTACTGTAACAGCAATCATGATTGTGATGAAATACGCTTAACAAAGGACACATTAAAAGGTCATCAGAACATCTCTTTCTTGTACACTAGTATAGAAAGGTCTTCCAAAGATAAAGGAATGCAGGCCAGGTTTAATTTTCTCAGCCAGAGCCATTATTATGTTAAGATCGCCCTCTGCTGTTAGATCAAGGTCTATCTTCAGGTTCCGAAGAGATTTAAAGGGTTTCTTCCCCTTCTGCCTACAAATAACAGAAAAGAAAAAGAGTAATAATAAGCAAGCAAACGTGTCCAACACTGTCCCACAATTTACAAATGCTTCCCCTTGTGCGGGTTACTCACGTATCGTCTTCTATATACTTGATTAGCGTCAAGGCTTTCCTGTGAAGGACGAGGAGAAACTGCGCAAGGAAAGTGCTTCTGAGGGCTAAGCCAGGCTTCAGATGGAAGACCTGTGGGAAAACGGGCCGTCTGAACGTTTCTCCGTCCACTACACAGCCAGCCCCAGGACAGTACCCAGCACTTCCGCTCGCGGCCCTGATAGGACGGAGAGTGGGCAGCACCGTGTATGCAGGCACACTGGCAGGTCTTCAAACTTCCCACTTTATCTTTAAAAGTGTACTCAAATTTTGTATGCTACATCAAATAGATCCATGCTTATTTTAGTAAAAAAAAATCACTATGTAAATTATTTCATGTTCTGTTACCTTTTTCACCCAAATCTTCAATAGTATCTACATTCCCAAAAGCTGGACTGTACTTTGTCTATGATTTGTAAGCACTTGTACATATTCTTAAGGAGAACATGTGCTGACGGAGGAGTAAGGAATGGGAGGGACTTTATTTTAGGTTGAGAAACATGGAATTACATCACTACTAGTTATCTTTGAATTTGCAATATATCACAGACCACACAGATTTGGATCCAAAAGTTTTAATTAGCATAAAGATCTCATTATTCCAAAGCTACACCTTTGACAGTTTCCTGGCCTGGTCTCCAAAATGATTTATGATAACACTGTTATATTAAGAAATAAATCCCATATAATGTATCATTTCCTTCAGCTGTGTCATTGAGATTTTTTTTAATTGAGTAGGTATTTTTAAAAACAGTAACAATGCTATCATTTAAACAGATGTATACTAAGTCTTACAATTTTTTTTTAACTTAAGGCAAATAACATGTCCTTTCCCCTTAAAGCATAACAAAAACCCCTGAGCTACAAGGTAGTACTGTACTTGAAATTAAAATATTTATTTGAAATAGGAAATGCTGAATCTTTCATCATTAATGCACAGGCTATTGCCTTGAATTTTTTTTTGAGACAAGGTTTTGCTATGTAGTTCAGGATGGCCATGTACTCACTGTGTAGTCCAGGCTGGCCCCTAACTGTGGTGACACTGCTGCCTCAGCCCCCCAAGTGCTGAGATTACAGGCATGGGCACCACCCCTGGCTGCCCAGAAATAATTTTTTAAAAAATCATTTAGAGATTTTAAAAAGGGCCAATGCGCTAAAAGAAGAATTTAGTTCTATGTGATACGTACATGGAATAGGCATTGTAGAACTTCCTTTTTTTTTTGGTGGCACTGGGGATTAACTCAGGTACTTGTGCATGCTATGTAAATGCTCCTCAGTATTTTATTTTATTTGTTTGGTACCAGGGATCAAACTCAAGACCTTGTGCTTGCCAGGCAGGTACTTATGCCACTGAGCTAAATCTCCAGTCTGCTCCCCAGTGTTTTAAAAGAAAATCTGTCATATCATTCATTCTGACAATGTCTGGTTTTATGATTACCTGATCCAGGAAGGCTTTTACTAGAGTGTCTCTGTGTAAGACATCTTGAAAAATATTCCTAGACAGAAATGAAAAGAATCCAAATGATGAAAAATGACTACAGTGTTGCTTTCTACAATTCCTCTATCTGGTCACTAAGTTAAATTCTTATCAGTAGGGTACTACATATAAATAAACTTGTAAAAATATAAATGTACACATTTGGAGTAAGAGAATAGATCTCTGGGGCTAGGGTACAGCTTAGTCACCCACGAAGCTCTGGATGCAATGCCCAGCAGACATAAGAATGCAGATATATGCCATATGTACAGATATATGAATATGTTCACTCTCACTAAAAGATACATTTGTGTATTACTGGTGTTTGTCAAGCTAAAATTTAATGGTTTTCTTTAAAGTATAAGCAGTTGCCATGAAGACTATGCATGCATCAGTCTTGAAACTGTCATAAAAATAATGTTGGAGAGTCTTAGACAACTAATAATATAATCACCAATTCTTGCTATCTCAAAAAAGAAAAAACAACTACACTATATTAACTTTAACAAACCAAAGACCCATCTTAAGAAAGAACATTTGAGTGGGACTAGAGAATAAATCCAGATGATAATGGGCAAAATACAAAATAATGGGCAGTAACGGGAACTGCTAACCTCCAAAGGTGTTACCTACCGTGGCCATGAACACAGGGAGAAGACACAATGCCCACATGACACAATTTGTGTCTAACGTAGTACCTGTGATACAGCAGGTGCTAAACAAAGTATAGTTCCCTTCTCAAGACCTACTGTTCTTTTATCATTTCTCTTTCATCTTCTGTAGAGTACACTCAGGTCAGAAGGATAATATAACATTCAGTAAGGAAGTGATTTTTTTTTTTTTTTTTTTTGGTGGCACTGAGGAACTCATGACCTCATGTTTGCGAGGCAGGCACTTATGCCACTGAGCTAAATCCCTAGCCCCAGTGATTTTTAGATTAAAAGACTAAAAACACTAGTGATGATCATTTAACCATAAGGGCTGGCAGAGAAAGAGAATAGGTGTGTGCTGAAGTAGGAAAGCACCTCAAATTTTGGAGGCTTAGGAGATAAGTATACTAAACTACAAGAAAATTAAGAAGAAAAAGATCAGCATTTTACAAGTACTGGCTAGACACTGACAGAACCACTCCTCAGACCTCGGAGAGCACCTGGAGCTGTTCAGTGCAGTGTTCTCGCTCTGTTTCCCTGAACGTCCCGAATAGAAGAGAACTGGATGAAGAAAGTGTTAAAAATGAATACTTCAAGCAACTAAATCTTCATGTATTGTTGGTGGCTGAAATTATTTTTAAAAGGTTAAAATGAAAAGTAACTTAAAGGGTTGGGGCGTGTCCCAGTGGTAGAGTGCTTTGAATGTGTCTGTGTCTGGCACTGCATGTCCTGTGTTGCGAAAGCACTGCCTCCTTAACACAAAAATTTAAAACTGAATAATACTACTTAAAATACATACAGTAGTCAACTGAGACTATGATAGACAAAAGTTAACACATAATCTTGTGATTGAAAATGTTTTTGACAATTTTAGATTCAAAACATTTACTTGGGAGCTGAAAACAAAATTTTATTTATTTTTAGTCTCCTTGAGACAGGGTCTCACTGTATAGTTCAGGCTGGCCTTGGGCTCACTTTGTAGCCCAGGATGGCCTTGAACTCGCAATGATCCTCATGCATCAGCCTCCTGAGTGCTGGGATTACAGGAGTGCACTACCATGCCTGGCTTGGAAACAAAATCTTAAAATTCATGACATGTTGTTGGGATCAGAAAAACAAGATTAATCATAGTTTGCCAAATTAGTAAAACAAATATGTCTATGAAACAAAACAGATCAAATGGTTAAAAACTTATCCTAAATTTCCTCAAAAGAGCAAAAAACAAAACGAAACCAAAAACACTAAGTACTTCAGGAAAGCTGACAGCTTGTCTCTGCATGTATCAGTATTACCAATACGTGAAAACTCAGTGACTGTAATTCCAATTTGACTAGTTCACTTTCTGAAGCAATTCCTCTAGGACCTTCTAAGCAATCAATCAGCACACTGGGGAACAAGGAAAGATGGGGCTCAATTAAATCACTTTTTCTGCATCTACATATATATGCTGCTGGATCCCCTGCACCATAATGTTCCAGTTTTGTGCTTCTAGTCAACATTTTATGGTCGCTATGGGTGCTCTACGTTTCTGTTGCCTCGAATCAAAATTTTTCTTAAAAACACAAGAAAGGGTTGTTTGGGCCAAGTCAACTGATGGATTACTGTAGTTAGTATGCTTTGAGTATTTCTATGTGCCAGCTACTAGGTTCAAGCACTTTTAATTGATTCCAGAGAAACCTAGTAGTATATTACAACTCTTTTTCTGATTTCAGAACACCAATGAAGTATCTTCAAGTTTTTTGATTACAGATGCATAATCACTTTTTCCTAACTGTTCCAATAAACAATATTTAATTATCATCACTTGTCTTTTAGTTTACTGATCATTCTTTGTGGCAAGAAATGAGTCACAAAACACAAAATGTAAAGTGAAAGAATGTTTTCTATTAACATATTTCACCAGTGCTGGATACCCAGTGCCAGACACAGGCACACTAAAAGTGCTCTCCTTCTGGGGTAGACCCCAACTCCTCAAGCTAGTTTTCATTTTAACCTTTTAAAAGTAATTTCAGTCACCAACAATACATTTTATATTCATACACAAGAAGAAGAAAAAACTCAGAATTACTTCAGTTTCGAAAGTGTGTTCACAACAGACTATAAGTAATACGGGGTCTAAGGCAATCTGATGGGTCACTATTACTCCCAGAACTTATTACAGTACCCAGAAGCTCAATATAATTTTAAAAAATAATGTTCAAAGGTGAGTTTTACTCTATTTTTGGAAAAACATAATTATATTTAAAACACATTTAAGAAAAAAAATGGTTGATTAAAGTTTTCTTTTAAAGCAGTATTATACCAGTAAGATTTCTTTCCTCTTAAATATAACTTGCTTCGTTTTTACCCATCAAAGATGCAGTTTCCTACTGTGTGACAGTGATAGCCACAGGCAGAGAATTACATACAGGTCAGGAGTGAAGCTTTCGTCTGTGTAGATGATCGTGTCCTGAGCCATGTCTTCTTCTGAAGTGGCTCTCCAGAATGCTGTCAGCTCTGACCTCATATATCTCCGCTGATTGTAGATATGTTCGTGACAGGGTGGCATCTGCTTGACAGTATTGACATCCACATCTATGTGTGTGGTGGGGTACGGAGCATACATGACTTGTCGGAAGGGTAGTACAAAGCTTCCAGTTGAATCCTGTCAAAATGAAAGGAAAACACACTATTATACATACCATAAGATAGGAAGAATTTTTTTAAATTAAAAAAACCCGGCTTTGACTGTATTCTATGAAATTTATCATGATTGTGTGTCAAGTGTTAATGATAAGCAGTGTTCACTACAGCATTGTAAAAAGCAAAATATCAGAAATAGCCTAAGCACCCAAAGAGAAGTGGTTACATAAATAAATATAGGTTTATATTTAGCTACTGGAAGTAAAATTACTCAAGCTTGTATTTTAGTATATGTGCTGCTGAAGTGAGCACTGAGCTTGTACTGATATTGAAAGAAATTTACAATATATTGTGAAAAATTAAGGATAAAATATATAGCGTAGAATCTAGTTGCGGTGGGGGGGGGGGAGCAAAGACATGCAGAATTAAGGAAGAAAGAAAGAAGAGAGGAAAAAAAATATACCTAATGTGAATAGTGGTAATTCACTGGATTAAGAAATTAAAATTAACTTTTTCTTGATTATTCTATTTATTTTAAAACCTAAACTGTACATTTTTATTTTATTTATTTTTTCGTATAGAAGTAAACATTTACTTCTAACTATAATCAATTGGGTTACCATGTAACATATACTCACTGTGTGTAGGTACTGTGCTATACACTACAAATAGAAGTTGGGAGTCATTCGTTGTTTCACTTTTTTAATGCTGTGAAGCATTTCTGTACACACTCATTACCCTTTCCCAAATCCCTTCTCCACACCCTTCCCAAACTCTGATAACCAGTAATCTGTTCTGTTGCTAGAAGACCAATTTATGGTTTCCACACACAAGTAATAACACAGCATTTATTGTTCTGCACCCGATTTGTTTCTAACATAATCTTCAGTTTCATCTATGTTGTGGCAAATGACAGAATTTCATTTTCTATGACTAATATTTCATTGTACACTGAATTTTCTTTATCCACTCATTCATAAATTGACATCTAGATTGATTCTACATCTTGGGTATTATAAAGAGTGCTGCAATAAACATGTGAGTTCAGATTTTTTTGGCATATTGATTTCATCGAGTATACACCCAGTAATAGAACTACCAAGTCATGTGGCAGTTCTATTGTCTAATTTTTTGAGGAAAACTCTGTAATATTCCCACCAACAATGTGTAAGAGGTCTCTTCCATGTCCTTGACAGCATTTGTTATTTATCTCTTTGCTAATACTCATCCTAACTGAGGGAAGATGATACCTCAGATGGGGTTTTGATTTGTATTTCCCTGATGATTAGTGATGGTGAGCATTATTTATGTATTTCTTTGTCATTTGTATATTTTCTTTTCAGAAATGTCTGTTCAGATCATTTTAAAACCATACTACTTGGGGACTTTTGGTTTGCTTGTTTTTTGTTTTTGTTGTTGTTTTAGTTCTTTATATATTCTAGATATTAACTCTTTAATGAATATGTTGCAAATATTGTCACCCATTCTGTAGGTTGTCTCCTCAGTCTGTGCTTCCTCATGCTATGCAAAAGCTTTATAGTTTGATGTAACTTCATTGTGAGTGTTTGATTTGTTGCTTATTCTTCACAGTCTTAATCAAAAACTCTTTCACCACAGCCATGTCCTGGAGCATTTTTCGTTTTCTTCTAACAGTTTTACAGTTCAGGGTCTTTATTTAAATATGTGCTCTTCCTTGAGCATATATGGTAAGAGATAGTGGTCTAGTTTCATTCCTCTGCATATGGGCACTCCGTTTTCCCAGTGCCATTCACTGGAGAGACTTAGTCACTTTCCTTATTGCTGGGACAAAATACCCAATACTCCTAACTTAAAGGAGGAGAGATTTTGGCTCATGTTTCATTCCAGGTTTGTGTGGCTAAAAAGAAAAGAGCAAGGCAGAAGAGCATGATGGCAGCCAGGAAGCAGAGAGAGAGTGAAGAGAGGAGCTGGGGATGGAGACAAACCTTTCAAGACATTGCTGCCGGTAACCAGCTTCTTCCAAACACACCCTGCCTCCTAACAGCAAGTCAGCTATACAATCTCACTTCCTATATCACCTTCAAAGGTCCTACCCGTGACGGCATGAGGTTTTAAGGAGACAGCGAGATATAACCACAACACTGTCCTTTCCCCAGTGTACGTTCTTGGTGCCCTTCTCAAAAATCAGCTGGCTGACTTACATTTGGGTCTATTTCTAGGTTCTAAGCTTCTATGTGTTTTTTGCTGAGAGCTGCTTTGACTCTTCAGGATTCCATACAAACTGCAGGGGTATTATCTTCTCTTTCTGTGAATAATAGCAGTATTTTGAGAGAAACTGTACTGAGTCTGTACATTGCTTTGGGTATTAGAGACATTTTATTATTTATTTATTTATTTTTGAGACAGGATTTTACTATGTAGTTCAGGCTGACCTTGAATTTTAGCCCTTTGTAGCCTAGGCAGGCCTCAAACTCACAGCAATCCTTCTGCCTCAGGCTCTTGAGTGCTGGGATTACAGGCATGTGCCACCATGCCCGGCTATTAGAGACATTTTAATAAAGCTAATTCTTCCAATCCATAAACACTGACTGTCTTTTCTTTTCTTTCTTTTTTTTTTTTTTTTTTTGTTATCTGCAATTTCTTTCATTAGGGTTTTATAGTTTTCATCATAGTTTATTCACTTTCTTCATTAATTCATTCCTAGGGCTTTTTTTGGTTTATTTTATAGCTATTACCCTTTTCTGATTTCTGTCTTGGCCATTTTGTTACTGATACATAAAAATGATACATAAAAATGCTACTGGTTTTGTATGTTGAATCTTGTATCCTCCAACCTTTACTGAATCTATCATTCTTACAACTTTCAGTGAAGATTTTGTTTTTTCTTTATTTATTATACGTAAAATATCCAAAGACAGATAACTTGACTTCCTCCTCGTTATTTGAATGCCCTTTACCTCTTCCTTTTGACTTCTTTCTGGCAAAGACTTTCTAATACTAGAGTGGATGAGAATGGTGAAAGCAGAATCCTTATTTGCTCTTGATCTTGGATGATTTTCAGATTTTCTCTGTTCAGTATGATCTTTATTGTGGATCTGTCACATGCATCCAGTACCTAATTATTTTGGGGCCTCTGGAATAAGTTTTTAAAAATTCTGATTCATTTTGCTACACCTAAAATCTCAAAAAAGTATTCATTATGAGAGATTCATACAATCATTAGGAAGGCTATTTCTTCACGTCTAGACTGTAATTGGGGCTGGGAATTTAGCTCAGCAGTACAAGTGCCCGCCTTGCAAACGCACAGTTGTGAGTTCAATCCCTGGTAAAAAAACAAAAACAAAAACAAAAACACCCAAAAAAAACCAAAAAACCAAAAAAAGACAAAACATCTAGAGTGTAATTGAGAGACCAAAAATATCTAATAAACTGAATTGTTTTCCCTGCAGTTACTGAAATTAATGCTAGTTAATCTGTTTTGCTCCTTGAAAAGTAAACTTGCTTAATATTAAAAAGTTCTAATATTTATTAGAAATGTACATTTTTCATGTTTATATAAATTTATACATTGCTCAAATTCTATATATTTTAAGGTACTTTAAATTTCTCAATAAATGAATATGCTATATAAACACAAAGTAGTAAACAAAAAAATTCAAATCTGTTTAGTAAAGAGAAATGTTCCCATTTTAGAGGTGCGCCCTGAGTCAAGCAAGAATTAAAAACAAACGAAAACCCTAAGGCTAAATAAACAATAACTACGGAATCCTCTGGACAAGGATATTCTGTGACTTTTCACCTATATAAATCCGAAAGATATACTCTATGCTCAGAAGTCATGTATATATGTAAAGGAAGTCAGTCTGTGGGCACATAAATAAGATACATTAAACACCATGAAAATATTTTTACAAAGACTCTCAACAATTATTTTTAACAATTGCTTTCCCTTGTGAGAAATGGGAAGTATACCTTTAGCAGACCTTGTACAAACAGCCCTGACTCATATTTAAATGGTGATTCTGCTTCACATAATCTGGAGCATTTTCTCTCTGCTGGAGTTAGAAAAAGGCATAATGTTCTTACTATCTGAAAAGAAAAAATTTTAGCATTAAAATATGAAGTCAAAGCTTTGCTTATGGAAGACATTTAAGTAGATATTTGATTGTACTGTCAATAAAATACATTTCAAATAGTAAATACTCCTCAGTCACTGGAACAATCTATGAGATATAATGCTTACTGCTTTAAAAGAAGAATTTTTGCAGCTAATTATTAACTGCATAGCATCTTAAACCCTGTAACATTTGACTATATATTGTGATTCTTCAGGTGAACAATACAATATACAGCCTTTCTCAAACTTCACTGACTATTAAATCTTTATTTCAGTGGGGAATAATGATGGAATACAATGACTGATCGCATCTTTACCCAGTAACAACTGATTTTAATGCAAGCAAACACCTTTAAAGAGAAAAACTTAAGGTATTTAAATTAGGCAGAATTACAGCTTTCTACAAGCAAACCCCACAGTAACAAAAATTAAAGGGTATTCAAACCATTCAACAAAAAGAGAATACTATTAAATTTGATTTAAAATAAGCCCAGGTGTTAAGTAAATGGTTAGAAATCTCTCATTCTAAAATCAGTAGTGGTGGTGCACACCTATAATCCCATCACTTGAGAGGCAGGAGAATCACTGCGAGTCTGACCCCAGCCTGGGCTACAAAGTGAGTTCAAGACCAGCTTAAACTGCATAGTAAAACCTTGTCTCAAAAAGACAAATATAAAATACAATAAAATAAAAATAAAAATAAATAAATCTCTGATTCTAACAATATATTTGACTTACAGATCTATTAGGAAAAATAAAAAGCCATGTACCTATAATGGAATTTATGCTATTTCTAGAGTTATTATATTAAAGCAGTGGTTTTCCAACTAGAGCAGTAGCAACTTATTTTTTCAAATTAAAAGACAGAAGATGAGCTATTCAATCCGAAGAGAATGAAAGACAAGAACAACATTTAATAAACACAGCCCTGACCATGGAGCACTTTTCTCTTCATAAAGCAGACTAAAAGTCCCATGGAATCCTCAGGCTTTTGGAATTATAAATGGCACACCATTTTTTTTTTTTTCGAATAGCTATGATCATTAGTTCTTAGATGCCACAGTATATTAGAAAGGTATTCTAATCACTCATAAATAGTTATATAAGAAGTGTAATTTTGGAAAATTAAAGGTAATGCAGCTATTAAAGAAAAAAAATAAAATCTTTGTAAAGCAAATAATCATCCCTAGCATATTTCCTTGTAAAACTCTTAAAAAAATTAAATCTGCTAAACTAATAAGGATATAAGCATTTATTCTCTGGATTCTATCTAGATAATAGTGAAGAAAAGCACAAAGTCCCTTAGTTAACTGCCTAATGCTTAAAAACATAACTCACCATTTCTTTATTAACTCAAGTAGCACGAGGAAAATGGCTAAAGCATTATTTCCACTGACCCCTTGATAGCAACAGCTCCCTGAAAGGCACAGATGGGTGTATGTGTGTGTGTGTGTGGGGGGGGGCGGGGGGGGGGAATGGGAGCGGTAATGTATCGAAAATCAAGTGAATGGTCAAATGTCATTTTTTAGGACTAATACCAAATGTATGTGGCTATCTTATATTTATTAAAGATGAAACTGGGAAATAGATGATAAACACTTAAAAGAATGATTTTAAAATATTCTCAAAACCATTTTATACACAGCTGATCTGGTTATTTATAAACTGTCAAAGTGGTAACTGAATTTCTACTTGTATTTTATTTCAAATTCATTTTTGCCACAGAGTATCATGATAATTTCGTAAGACTACATTGCAATCTTACACTATTAGGCCACTTCAAGAACTAAAACCCATGTAAATGTTAACCAATAATATGTTAGGAGTATGAAAAAGTCAAAATGTCTTCTCAATTATAAAGTAAATTACCTTATTTACTTTGTCTGCACTGCTACCTACAACAACAGAACAGCCACAGGTTTGCAAGTGTGAGCTGATGGCACTGCAGGTAAAAGAAAACAGACTAAAAACACTGCTGCAAAAGACTTCACAAACTGAAAAAAAAAAAACTTCAAATAATGCCAAATAGTTTTACCTGATAAACATCAATGGACATAATGCTATTTTTACTGGTATAAGAAACTTTTCATTTCCTAGAGAACTGTCACAGAACTTGTCTCATTTAAGTCTTAGGATAACCTAGGTGGTTTGTAAATACCACAAACTGATGTGTAAAAAAAGGTTACATGATTTAAAGGCAACTGAGATTCAAAATAATATATGAATGGTGACACTAGTGAATTCAGGACTAACAAACTTCTGTCCCAAGTTATCAAGCTTTTTAAACAATTGTGCTTCTCATATTTCATCATGAGCTTAAAGAAAAATAATGTAAACATCAAAGTGAAAACTGTGTTCATTCACCTCTCATTTTTAGAAACAAAAATTTGTGATAATCGGCAGTTGGAAACAAATACTAAAGTAGAGGATGAGATAACAAATGCAGAACACATAGTGTTAGGGACTAACACACTGGCACTCAACAAATTGTGGCTGTTCATATTTTCACTTTCCTGAGAAATATAATTAGAAAATGGCAGCTACAAAATACTAAGTGATTTTATGTGCCAGGCACTGTTCTAAGTATTACGTATTATCTCATTTAACACCTGTAACAATCCTAATACAGTAGATTCTGTTACTATTCAAATTGTACAGATGAGGAGGTGGAGGAATGGGCATTTCAGGTAGCTTTCCCAGTGTTACAAAGCAGTAACCAAAGTGTGATTTTAGAGACCACTCTAAACTACAGTTAGATCAAAAAGATCAGGTCGAATATGAGTAAGTTCCATTCTTAGTCTTAAATAACTTAAGCCATTCTACAATGCAATTTAATTTGAAAAGTTTCTTAGTTTTAGCTTTAATGGGAAGTAACACAGGAAAACAGAACAAAGCACTAAGATTGCTTGTGTGGGCACAACGGAAACTTGGTTTCTTTAAACTGCAAAAGGAGTAAACTGCAAAAGCAGATTTACCAGACATATGAATAAAAAATAGCATGTATTAAACAACAACTCAAATATGTAATGCTTTCTCTAAAATAATGAGCCAACAGGTATTGTAGTATTTTCATGCCTCCAAAGTTTGTCATAAGGTGACCATAAGATTTTTATCTGCTTCAGCCAGCATTTAGGAAAAGAAACAAAATTCTTACTTGAGAAGAAAGCCTTCATGACAGCTGTCACCGATGTCATCATCATTCAGCACTGTATCAGCTATCTACAATACACCAGAAAAAAATGTTAATCTGGCTATACCAACGTTGAGAGAACACTTTTAATACCTAAGTCTGCTGAAATCTAGATTCAATGAAAACATACTGCCCCCATTTCTGAGCATCAAGAAAACCCATAAAACAATTTCTATGCCCTATCATAACTTGGAAAAGAACAGATGTGAAACCTGTGGCAGGCTAAGCAATAGTTATTACAAGAATAACTTCCTCTTCTTAGCTATCCAGAAGACCAAATTTAATGAAAAAGTCATTAAGTTTTCTTTGGTCATAGAAAACTTAGGCTTATATGTATGCTTTGTGGCTAACATTTCATATGAACAGTACAACAAAAGATCTACTACTAAAATGAGAATATTACTAGTAAACACAATAGTAGAATTCAAGGAAACTGGTAAAGGATACAACTGCCCTCTTAAGATCTTACATCTATTTCTTCAGGAACACTATGTGATTTCATAGATGAAAGCAGTTCCATCACAGGAATGACTTCCCCAGTAAGCATTGGAATAATACTCTGACCCTGCACAACAAAGTAAAACAAAAGAATTCACATAACACGGGACAAGCTGGACAATAAAAACTAACAATGAAAGCAAAGAACAATACCTTTTGATAAGAACGATTGGTAATTTGTTGAAAATCTACTACTCCAAAATATTTAAAAGTATTTTTATGCTATTTAAATTCATTCTCATTCTTTCAAGAATAATCTTTTTGGGTGAGCACGGAATTACTGCTATCATTTACTGTCACATGCATGAATTGAATACCATACCTAATTTAGAAAGGATCTCCTTTTAAAGGTCATCAATAAATTTCCTATTTAAAAATAAGCAAAGCCACGTCAGGTATGGTAGTGTACACCTGTAATCTCAGCACTCTAGAAGGCTGAGATATGAGGATCACAAGTTTGAATCTAGCCTGGGCAAATCAGCACAAATGACTCAAAATAAAAATGATGGAGATGTTGCTCAGTGCAAGCACTGGTTCAATCCCCAGTACCACCACCCCCTACAACAACAAAGTTAAAGTCAAGCACAAAGTCTTTGAAATCCTTACCATAACTTACTGGTAAAGCTTCAACCAATATCCACTTCTCCCCATTCAAATAGGGTCTAATCTTTCCAGATGCAAATGACAATTGTCACATATAGCTCAAGAATCAATGAAACATAACAGGTTCCTTTAGAGATGCTTTGAACTGTTTATTATGTCTCAAAAATATAATTTTGAACTTAAATCCTATGGAGTCAGGATTATAACCCAAATATAAAATGTTTCAAATATAGGCTGATCTTCATTTATCCCTTAACCCCCATCAGCTTTATGACCAACCTAAATATGTAAACTTTTATTAGAGATGTAAATGAAATCATCAAGTGTTTATTAATTTTCATATATATATATCGTGCACACTAGGTGAGTGTTCCACTACTAAGCTATACCCATAGTCCTATACCTTTTTTCCTTTGGTACCAGGAAAAGAATTCAGAACCTTGCATTTGCCAGGCAGCCAGTTGTGCCTCTGAGCTATATCCCTGGCCAATGCTTATCAGTGTTATCTAAACATATTTTAAAATTATGTAGTTAATTCAGTAAGTTTTCTTGGCCTACTCAGTGTTCACGAAATAATTCTATTCAAACTCTTCGTATGTATCTTCAAATTAGAACTTTCGTCATCCAAGAGTCATTTTTTGAGCAACTTAACAAAGTCCCTTATCGTGTAGGTTGCTTAATTTGAATACTGTATGCTGCTACTTTTGAAAATTCTATCCAAAGCCATTAATGCCTTTGCCTAATGTAGAGGCTTATTATTTTTAAATTTCACCTTATAATAACCACCCAAAATAACACTATTTTGTTTTTAAAAGTAATTGTTGATATGTTTGTTTATAATTAACATAAGCAGTCCAACAAAGATAACTCATTTGTGTTAAATTTCCTTCCTTGTTAACTGACTTTATCAGATGACAGATAAGCATTCTCAACTAGCAAGGACCAAAGTTGTTTCAGACTATTGTATCACTTCTCTCAAGCAATATTTATTGTTCAATATAAAGCTGTTCAAAACATGTAAGAGATTTGCAAGAACTCGATTGTAAGGCAATTCCATTTCAGAAAGGTTAATCTGGAGACAGTATTTCTGTTTAGGTTTAGGCACATACATTATTTTGGAAATGGAATCTCAGACATTACATCATTTTAAGTGAAGGATGCCATCATCTATACTCAACAACAAAAATCTTACAGAGCTGAATAAATAAGAGACTATAAAAGAAAATTCTCTAGGTTTTTTCCCTTCCTTGTGCTTTCTTTTCCTCTCAGTATGATTTCCCTTGAAAGTCTAGTCTATCCCAATATACTTTCCTCCTGACATTGGATAACACATTTTCAAGAAGACCCTTTAAAAGAGAGTCAGAAATTCATCAATAGTAGTCAATCTCCTAAGTACAGGTTTCTGGTTTGAAAAAAACCCAAAATCCCACCAAAAGCAACTGTGTGTCTGCTCCTGTATTTTCTTGTCTTGTGATAACTTAATTACTCTCTAAGTACCGGGTTAGAAGTTGGTGAGTGACCCCATTCCTGTGACACTGCTTACTGACTGAGCAGACCTGTCCCGCTAGGTTTGGAAAGCGATTACAAGGTATGAACATAGTAATCTCAGGAAGACCATTTTACAGGATACTGTATTTTCCCTGATGTACTCAGGTTTTCACAAAGTTTACGTTTTGCTTTGTTTTATGCTGCTGGGGATCAAATCTAGATTTCTGTGCAGGGCTAGGTAAGTGCTCTCTCCTGGGCTATACTACCAGCCACTCAGACATACTTAAAAATGGTTTCTTAAACATATTCCCATCTTAATCACGCTAAAGAGACCCAGAGAAAGGTAACACAGCTGTGTTTAAAATACTGGAGTTTTACAAGAAGGTACAATGAGGGAAACTGGCCTGCAGGGAATAAGAGCAAAGTTAAAACACTTTCTCCACCAAGAGAGTCCCAGCTTGAACTTTCTTGTCTTACACCCAAACGGCCTTTGTTTAATTCTACAAGGGAAGTCATACCCTTGTAGTCACACCTCTCAGACTCTAGTTCTGTTCCCCAAGATCATTCAAAGTCACTGGATAAACATGATACATTTTTCTAAGGAGTCAATATTATAGAAGTAAGGTAAATCACTAACAAATTTTAATATTAAAACAAACAGCTATATCATGGAATGAAAGTAAACTGCTTGACTTTTATTAAAGATTTCATATAAGACTTTAAAGAAATATTGAGCAAGAGCTGTGCTGTACCCTCAGACAGGTAACTTAGGAGTACACTTACTCTGCTATTGCAGCTATTTCTGTGAAAATGTTTGAGAAGCAATACTTTTTAAAAAATCACATATGTACTTCTTTTTACTCTGAACCAGTTATTTCAAAATTATTCTGAAAACTGAGAAAAATAGTTATACTATTGCAATTAGCATTTTCCTGTATTTACTTAATTCTTCAGATGCAAGATACAGAAATTTTCGTCCATATTCATCTTTATAAAGTCCATACAGACTATTCATCTTCAGGCTCACTGTTGAATGTTACGTCTTCAAGCCCTTAACAGCCTTACCCAAACATACCCCACAGAAATGATGGTACTTAACAGTATGCAATCTGCACTTTACCTGATCTTCCATCCTCTCTGAGCCTTCTAAGACAATCTTCTGGACATTTTCTTGCCTTTCCTAAGTAAAAGCAAATTCATATTTTAAAAATACTGACACATGCTTATTTTTCGATGCAGCCATGTTGTATAATTTAATTCAAAGGAAAAATACTTTCTGTTATAGGAGAGAAAGGGAAGAAAGCAGGAAATGAATCTAACAAACCCATGTTCTCCAACACTACACAAAGTCAAAACAACCTTTGTTTTGTACTGAAAAAGGGATAATTTAGCAGCAAATAGTCAATATAACACCTGTAGTTTCAATAAAGGAACATAATGATGCACATTTTGAGTTAAACGAGATTAAATTGAACCTGAGAAATATAAGCTTGTTAATTTTAAATGATTTTCATAAACATGAGAAATAAGAAATTGAGACAGCAGATATAACACTATTATTTAAAAAATTATTTTTCCTTACAATGGGTTAAAGCCTTATAAAATTAATAGTTTTAATGGACTCTGTATTAAACTGGAATATAAGAATTAGATGTTTTCTAGATATTCCAAAAATATATCGAAATGTTAACAACATTTATTATATATAAAACTACAGGATTTAGTGGAAAACAATTCTAAGCTTAGCTTAGGCCCCTGGGCTGTGGCAGTTGTAGAGAGCCAGTAATGTGGGTAATGAGGCTCTTTAAAAGATCATCAACTTTTAACATGATTGCGGGTCTTTAAGGAATTTTTTTCACGTGACTCGACTGTGTGGTGCTAGGTCCTACACACAGGAAGCAAAAGAATGCTTGTGAGTGGGGCCACAGTGCAGGGCTACTTCAGCCTTCTGTCCCTGACACACACGGTCAAATCAAGACCTGCACATATAAAACATTGTATGTCCGTGTGTGAGTTGGTAAGATGCAGAACTTACCCAATAATGTTTCAACTTACCTACACATGCGTGGTCATACAAAGACAAGTGTTTATTATTATTAAGCAGACATGTAAATTTTCTTATTTATTAGGGTGCTTGTGTTATTTATTTTTTGGGGGGATTCCAGGAATCCAACTCAAGACCTTGAGCTTACCGGGCAGGCACTTATGCTCCTGAAATATATCTCCAGCCCAGGTTTGTGTTACTTTGTATATTAGTTTTTTATATAGGAATCACAAATATATTAAAATTTTAAAATTCATGATATGGCTACAATTACATGTATGACCCTGCTAATACTAGAAATGCTATAATAAAAATATTAAAAGGAAGTTTTGCTACTTAGAAGCATTAAATATATTATTTTATATGCCGCTCAAGACCACCCTTTTCATTCAGTGCTCCTCAGGTAAGCCAGTGTTGGAGACTCACACTCCAGCTTAATCTGAAAAATTAAAAGGTCTTCCTTCTAAAACAATTTGGTCCAATGTCTTCTCTTACAACAGAAATCTGGCAAAGCAGTTAAAGAGACCAAAGGCCACATGGCTGAGAACTTATGAAATAATTGCTATACTTACATATAGGTGTGTGCCACTACACCCAGCCAAATGCAAATAACTTCTTTAAACTGATACAAATATATCAGAAAATAAACTTTCAATGGCCAGGTTAGCATGATATGTAAGCTGAAGAACCACTCACCTTATGCATCCATATCCTTCCTTTCCGAATAATGTGTGTTAGTCTGTCAACACACACTCTGTGAAGGGGAAGGTAGAAACTAAGTTCCGTTTGTGGAAGTATAATCGACAATCCATAAGTACTTCGATCTCCGTTCCAATTTCCATCAAAGATTAAGGAAACAATAATTACTCCTTTTTCAGACAAAACGAAAAACTTTACATCTATTGCCCCACTCTCTGCATTTCGTAGAATCTCTCCATTTAGGGTGTGGTTGGCAAGAAAAGTTATTTCTCCATCACTGAGAAGTACTTGTTCTGTCTTTGGAGCCCAAATGTGCCTCACTCTAGGACCAAGAATATTGTCCCAGTAAGCAAAGGTGGCTGCTAACAAGGGTGATTCACCACTTAAAGCAATCTCTGTCTTGGCAACAGCTGGAGATGGTGGTGGGCACAGAGTCGACATCACTGCAACCCAATCTCACATCATCCAACGCTCCGGGGACACCTATGCAGGGACATAAGAAACCAGCAATTAGGGCTAGCAATTTTAGAGATACTTAGCCAAGACCCAAATGACTAAGGCACATGTTACATCCTACAGCTTGTACCACAGGCCTCTTTCTTCCCGAACAGCCTGACTATATGCTCTTCTACTAAAAATTTCATCCCAATAGCACTGGAACTGAAGAGGCAAAAAATGAAGGCTCGGCTAGAGATGCTGATAACTTGTTGTAAGTTGAACTGCATTCCCTCAAAAAAGGTATATTTAAGTTCTAAGTTCTTGTATAATACATGAACAATGACTTTATTTATTTATGTTTTAGACTTTTTTTAGAAATAGCATAACTGACATGGGCTCATACTAGACTGGAACAGGTCTGAATTCAATGACTGGTGGCTCAGGAGAGGGAGCTGAAGATACACAGTCATATAAACACAAAAGACAGAAATTGGAATTATACAACTACAAGCAAAGGAATGTCAAAGATTGTTGATAACTGCCAAACTGGAAGAGGCAAGGATGAAGACTTCACTAGCATCCCTTTAGAATCATGCTCCTGCTGACACCTTTACATTAGAACACTAGCTTTCAACATTGTCAAAGTGTAAACTGCTGCTATTTAAGTCATCTACTTTGCAGTGCTTTGTCCCACTATTGTATTCCTTAAACAATAACACCACATCGGACAGCAGCAGAAATACCTTACACCTGCTAAAAGGACAATTAAAAAGAAAAGTAAAGAGATCTAAGATCATGAAAACATGCTCTGGAGCCGTAACAAAACAGTAAATGATCCTGTTTTCCCTAATGAGCTTTCTGGGTGTCACAGTACTGACAAACAATACTCCTGCTAAGCTTATTTTACTTTTTATTTTTTGTTTTTTTTTTTTAGCTCTCTCTATGTAGTTCAGGCTGGCCTTGAACTCTGTAGCCCTGAATACTAGTGTTTAAAATCCTGGCGTTTAACTGAAATATGACAATGAAGATAAATACATTTAATGTACTAATGAATTCCCAAAACAAACAATGCTAGGAAAACTGATTATCCAAACGCAGAAGAATTAATCTAGACCCATATCTCTCATCCTGAACTAAAATGAAATAAAAAATAGACCAAAGAGTTAGTACTAAAACACAAACATTAAATCTGCTAGAAAACAAAATAGGTAAAATACTTGAAGACAAAGGCATAGGCAAGAACTTCTTGAACAGAATACCAGTTACACAAGAAATAATTCCAAGAATTAACAAATGTGATTAAATCATATTGCAAAGTTTCTACACAGCAAAGGAAACAATCAACAGACTAAAGGCCCAAAATACAGAATGGGAAAAACTTTTCACAGTTCATCTTTTGTTAGAGGACTAAAATCTAGAATATACAAAGAACTCAAAAACCAAAACCAAAAGACCCAATAAAAAAAATGGGCAACTGAAATGAACAGATATTACTCAAAAGGAAAAGTACAAATGGCTAACAAAAACACTCAAAAATGCTTAGCATCTTTAGCTATTACAGAAATGCAAATAAAAACAATACTCAGATTTAATCTTACTCATCTGATCATCAAGGACACAAAAACAAATGCTGGCCAGAAGGTGGTAGGAATGTAAACTATGGTAGAATAACCACTACAGAAATCGTATGCAAATTCCTTAAAAAAAATTAAACTAAAAGTAGTAATTCCATTTGACACATGTATACCTCTTCTGAGTATCTTCCTGAAAGAATTAAAGTCATCATATTATGTATTACATGCATACTCATTTTACAGCAGCACAATTTATAATAGCTAAGTTTTGGTAACAACCTTGAAGCCCATCAACAGATGAATAAAGAAAATGTGGTATATGTACACAATGTAGTATTATTCAGCCCTAAAGAAAGATAAATTTTAGGCATTTGTAGGAAAATGGATGGATCTTGAAACTATAATGTTAAGTGAAATAAATCAGACACAGAAAATTCTGTATCACATAGTTTCTCTTGTATGAGAAAGCAAAGTATACAAATTTTAAAGGGCAAAATAAAAGTAGTTGATTGGAACAGGGAGGTAGATATTTTGGAGATGGGAAAAAGGTGAGAAGGGACAAAAATGATCAAGATATTACTATACATAACATACACTAATAAAAAAAAACTAGTAAAAAGGAAAATGGCATATTACTAGAAAATAAAAGAGCCATCAAAGCGATAACTAAATTTAAAAAAAGAAGAAATCAGTATAGCATTTTATCATTGCAAAAGGTGTTCTATATTAAGTGGCTAAAATAAAACTGCTTTAGTTAGAACACATTGTAAACAAAAGGCATGGACGCACCCTGTTCAAACTTTTCAATCTACTGAGAAAACAGACACACAGAGAAAAGAAAAGCCCACAGCTAACCTAGAACCCAGGGCTCAATTTATGTATCTTAATCTACTCATACATACCTCTCTGAAAAAATACCTTCTATATTAGTGTAAAACTAATTATTCTTACAAATGCTATAATTGAAGATTTGTAATCAGAAACAAAGTAAAAAAAAATTATGACAATTTTATTTAAGCTAAATAAAACTGTGAAATAATAGTAATAATAATAGTCTATGGCTTATATGATGGCTTTGGGAGGTAATATTTGAGCAACTAAATTTATGTCAAAGTAAATCATTTTACTTGAAAAAAATTTATCTACATCTTGTCAAAAAAGAGTTCAGAAGAGTTGGGGACACAGCTCAGTGGCACAGCGCCTGCCTGGCAAGTGTGAGGCCCTAAGTTTGATTTCTGATACCAAAAAATAAAAATATAAGAGTTCAGAGTCTGAGGAAAAGAATCACATTTTTAGAGCATCAGATGAGTATTTTTATATTATGACTACATACAGAATCTGGTAAAACATTCAACTGCACATACGTGCACAAATAGTTTAATAGAATTTTTACATGTGTACTTTTAACCTCGAAAGTTCCTTTAAGTAGTATCCACTTTTTAATAATGTCAACAATTTTAGGAGTGGACAGTGGACATAAGCTAAGTACAGCTTGTTTAAAACATCCACTGTTTTGGATGCAATTTAAACAATCTATTTACAATGACAGAATATAGGAATGTAATTTGAATTGAAACTATATTGACGCTACTGCTGTCACCATTAACAATGGCAAACTAAGACAAATGAAGTAAATACAAAGTGATAAAATTATATTGTAGATATATTTCTTTATTCTTTTTGGATAAAAAGATGACTAAAGGCAACATTGTAACTCAAATAGTCCATCACAATACTGAAAATAAAACAGAATTGAGCTCTAGAGCAAAGTATGACTGAATTATGGGATAACTTTTTACCTGATTCTAAATACTGAACTATTTTAGGCCACTAATTCCACTCAATCTCATCCTAGTTCTGTATATCTCGAAAATGAAGGATAAAAATCATGTTAAATGCTGCCAAAAGACATATGGTAGTTATCCCTTATGGCTGGGAGATATGTTCAAGAATCCCATTGGATGCCTGAAAGTGCAGATCAGTATCTTACTTTATACTAGTTATCTTTTCCTTTACATATATATATCTGATAAAGTCTAATTTATGAATTATGCACAGTAAGATCAATAGATTATGCTGACTTATGTGAATGTGTTCTCTTTATCTCAAAGTAACTTCCTGTCCAGTACTCACCTTTCTTTTTGTGATGGGAGAGAACGCAACTCCTACATGATGAAGTGAAGAGAGGTAAATGGTATATAAATGGTATGTAATTTAGCTTTAGGCTCCTACTGACCTTCTGAGGACATGTCAGGAGACGTAGCACGTGTTTCAGGTGATCCTAGATCTTTGCACTATAGTATAAGCAATGATTAGATGTCAGGAGCAGACAATGCTCATGGCTGAGGACCCTCCATATTAGAAGGTTAGTTTTTTTTTTTTTTCAAAACCTTTTAGAAGAATATTGTAATCCAAAGTTTTTTTAAAATTAATTTAAGTACTGCAGCAGAAGTTGTAATCCACTGGATAATGGCGTGTTTCATCTGAGGACAGTAGTCCATAATTTTGTACTTTTAATGTCTCTGCAATTAGAAATACTTCAGCAAATTTCAGAAGTGCCCATACTGCTGGTTCTGCTTTGGTTTCTTTTCTGCCCTTCCTCTTCTCTGTAGATTATTAAACAAGTTCTTTCAACTCATTTGTTAAAACTTCCCAATAGCCTTTCATAAGTTTTTCCACTTCTTTATTAAGCATGCTGATAAATCCTCTATCAACTTTAATTTATAGCTTCTCCAGTGACTTTTGTATGTTCAGTCCAAGCCTACTCCTGATCTGTGTAACTCTCCCTTCCTTGTAGGAAATAACTTGTCATTTATGTCACAAATGAACTCTTCCAGGCCCACTGCTTTTTAGCTCAACACACTATCATCAATCAGAACACACTTTCTGTTCTGTCTTTCATCTACAAATTGAAAGCCTGTCCTATCTTAACTAACACTTACGTACTGCAGCTATAATTCTTGTAATGAGGTGTGACAGCAAGACTAGCACAAAATCTTTTTCTTTCTTCACAATTTCACAATTAGGTTTGCTCTTCTGCAGCTCTCAGCATCCTCAGCATCTTTCCTTATTAACTTCCACCTTTTCACTTAAAGAAGCACTTTATAGTTTCTCTTTGGCATATCTGAACTGCCAGCACCACAGCCTGTGCTTTCATTCATTATTAAGAAGAGTTACTTGATCTCAATTACTATAATCCTGTGATAACTGATCCGATAACCAAGTTGGCAATTAAGAGATTAACAGATTGGTAGCATATACAGTGTAGACACACTGGTCAAGGAATGAATCATGTTCTGGGTGAGACAGGGCAGACAGGTACACTTTGTCTAAACACAGTACACAGAATGGCAAGCAATTTAAACTTACAAATTATTTCTGGGACTTTCCATTTAATGTTTTGTTTTTTTTTTTAGTACTGGGGGTCAAACTCATGACCTTGCGTTTGCCAGGGAGGTACTTGCGCCGCTGAGCTAAACTCCCGGCCCCTTTCCATTTAATCTTTTTGGATTATATTTGAATGTTGGTAGCTGAAATCATAGATGAGGGGGTGGGTCTAACCTAAGAAATAAACTGTCACAGGTATGTATAATTAAGACCCTTGAAATGGTTATCTTTGGTGAGGAAAATTCATTAGATACAACTGTGGCAACCCCCGCCCCATCATTTCAAAAACCAGTGGACTGTTATCTACTATAAAGTGCTGTGTAATCATTTCTTGTAAATACAGCACTGGCTACTTTAGAAGGTTATCAAACAGTCATATAATCTTTTGAGGGAAATCCAAATTGGGTGAGATGATGGCTTGCCACTCCTGTAACAAAGCATAGTGTTCATGAGAGTTTATTCAATTATAAATCTAAAAAATAACCCAACATGTAGACATATGATTATATTAATTGCATTTCTATCCTCATAAGGCTTTTCCATCTTGTAGCCACATTTTTATTTCTCCCAGCCCTAAGAGAAGTAGGGTCTGAATCTAGCACACCTTCCAAAACAGAGGTTGCCCAGGCCCAGTTTATGAACAGTGCCACCAGACTATCTGCAACACTTTCTAAATTTCCAACACAAAGCAAATCTCAGAATTTCAGAGGAAGTTCATGATTTCACTATGTGATTATCTCTCATAGGTCCAAAGTATAATAAGCAGGTTATACTACAACCCCTTGAGCTCAATTAACACAGAGCCCAAGAGCAGGCATGAAAGAGGAGTCTTCATAGGTTTTTGTATTACCTTCTTCCCTGAAAGCAAATTTTGAACTGCCAGCATAGTCAAATAAAGCAGCTATTTTATCAGCTTCTAAGTGGTGTGTAATCATTTCCTGAAGCAGATAAATCTACAATGTGGTCTGTAATTTCTCTGATTTTTGTTTCACAGATATGAAAAACAGAATCATCCTGAGGTATTTCAATCAATTCAGGTGGCAAGGAGGCCTTTTCAACTGATTCCAAGAGTGGCAGTGTTAAGAGGTGATGGTTAACACCATCACATGGTAGTCTTCTCTTCGTACAGTTTTACTTTCTGTGGTTTCAGATATTTGTAATAAAGTTTGGCCCAAAAATTAAAACAATATCATCTTGTTTTGAAGTCCCATCAAGCTGTTGTTCTTCTGTCTCCATTGGTTTTATCATGTTGTATCTTACTGGATTTTATTATATGTGATAGTATAAAAAAATTTTTTTATAGGCAAAGAGATAATATAGAAACCATTGTTCATTTTCTGTTAGCTGGTTCTAAATACCCTGTAATACTTTCACCCTCTTGAATAGTTTCACACTGTCTTGATATGTTTGATGCGATAGTATATGAAGTTATACTCAAATATTTCAAGGAAAGAGACATTATGATACCTACTGTTATGTGTAGTGAAACACTATGTTGCTTAAATTGTTCTGTTCTGACCTGTATTTTTTTTTTTTTTTTTTTTTTTTTTTTTTTGTCTTTTTCCTTTTTACCGGTACCGGGGATCGAACTCACAACTGCCTGCTTGCAAGGCAGGCGCTTATGCCGCTGAGCTAAACCTCCAGCTCCCTGACCTGTATTATGTTGTTATGTCCTCTTTTATCTCAATCTCCCCCTCTTTTTTTAAATTTATTTTTTAATTAAAGGAAAAAATAAAAAAAATTAGCAGGATATATTATAGTAACTTTTTTGATTTCCTGTTAACTTGATTTGAAGCCCTGAATTGCCCTCATCATCTTGTTTTGACTGATTTTACTCTATTCTGTTTTGTTTGATAGTACCAAGTTTGAGGGTATAGGCAACTACTTTGAAGGCAATAAGATTCACTGTGACGCACATTCTGGTTTGACTATTGTCTTCTTTTGAAGTCCTGTAATGTCTCCAATGTTTAGGTTTTATTGGTTTTTTGTTCTGTACTGTTTTGTTCAATTTTATTATACCTGATGATATAGGCAATTCTTTTTAAGGTAGCAAGAGGCATTATGGTAACCATTGTGGATTCCCTTGTATTCTGTTTTTACATCATGTACTATGTTCATCCTTTGTTTTGACTGACTCTGCTTTGTTTTGTCACATTTGGTTTTATTCTCTTCCAAAAAAAAGTAGTAAGAACTGTGGGAGTAATAACACCCAAAATGTGTAACTGTTATTGTAAAAAAGAGAGGAAAAGAAAGTGCTCTAAAGGATACAACTGCAAGTGTGTTGAGGTGTGTAAGATAGATGATCATATTAATGTTTTTGTTGAATCATTGAACACAACTGTTTACAGTCTCACTGTTTAAATGTCCACTTTGTATGCTTTAATTTTGTTACTTGAACAACTGTTTCTAAGATGACAATGTGTAATCTATTAACTAGTGATTTCTTATTGTTTATTTCATGAAATTCTGTATTACTTATATCCTTTTACTGTTTCGTTTTTTCTTTTCTTTACATAAAATTTTAAAAAAATTAAAACAATAAAAACTTCTAGAAGAAATCATTTTATAAAACTGAAATAGCATGCCATTCTGAGTGGTGTGAGGGAACCCTCATACTGTCTGCTTCATGGATGTGAATCATCCTTTTGTCCTGCATATTGATTCTAGGAACACTATTTGCCCATCTGTTATTTATTAGTCCTCTTTGTTATCCAATCAACTGTCCAGAAATCAGAGTGCTTATGTTCAAGTATGTCTTATTTTACTTAAAAAAGATGAAAATACAGTAAGATATTCTGCGATAGATTTCATATAAATTTTATTACAGTATTTTGTTCCAAATGTTCTATTTCATTATTGTCAATTTTTTATTGTGCCTAATTTATAATTTAAACTTTTACCACAGCTCTGTATTTAAAGAAAAAAAATCCAGTACAGTTAGGATCCTATAGTACATAGGCACAATCTAAGGTTTCAGGCTTCACTGAGGGTCTTCCTACATATCCCCTAAAACTAAGGACTACCACATTTCATGTTTCTGTGATCTACCCAAATTAAAGTTTTCCAATCTTTTGACCCTTTGGTGCAAAGTAGAAGTAATCTAGACAGAATGTACATCCTTTGTACCACCAGTGATGAAACAGTACGAACAGGAATTTATTCACTTCCTACCACTAGACAGCTGATCTAAGAATCTAGCAATCTCTTTGCGTCTGAAAGGGTCATCACGCCTCCTTGGCAAAGGCACAACTTTCTTCCTTTTTCTGAATGCTGACACACACTGTGTAATCAGTGCACTTCTCTCTTGCAACTGATTACCATCATTCAAGGCTGCCCAAGTCAGAGTGGTCACTTCCTTTTAACAAGTCTGTGCAATCTCTTGAGCTATGAGGCAACCAGGTCTTGTCCCACAAAATAGAGTACAACCTGCCCTATCACTGCTGCCCACTTTTACAAGACATCAGCACTCCTCACAAACTTGAAATCCTGCAGGCAAGCAGCAGGTCCCATACCCCATCCTCCCGGCGCTGGCTCCCTGCGGACTCAAGTGTTCACCACGACACCTGCCCTCCGGCTCCCTCCACGCATAGACCAGGCCTCGGGCGCCCGGGGCTCCTTTCTCCGGGGTCCCCAGCGGTGGTTCCGCTGGGTCCCGGGAAGGGGCCGGCTCAGAGACTGCGGACCCAAAACTGGGCCCCTCGCAGTCTTCGCGCCACCGCGGCCGCGACGCCTGGCCCTCCTGCAGGTGGCCCCACCGGTCCCCAGGTTGGAAAGCCGCCGGCTCCTTCCGTCAAGACAGAGAGTGGAAAAGAGAACAAGGCGAGCTCTGAGAAGAAAAACCGCAGCCCCCTGCCCCGCGGCGGAGCGCTGACCCTAAACCCGGCGTCCGCCCGCTTCCGACTCACCCACTCGCCGCCGTCGCCGCCTCCAACACTGCCGCGGGCACGGGGACCGCAACCGCAGCCCCGCCCCCGGCCCCGCCCCCGGCCCCGCCCTCGCCCCCGCGGCCTGGGCGCTCCCGGCCGGCCTAGCGCTGAGTGGGTTTGCGTTTTTTTCTTCTGACCAGTCTTTATCAGATCATTCCTAGAACACCTCTGGAGAACGCTGTGAAAACAAATGGAGAGCACGATGGGCGGGAGAATAGCGCTGCTCCTAGACACACGCCTCTCCTCTGTCTAGACCCCGCCCCCAGAAGAAGGAACCGGGCAGCCAGACTGGCTGACGCGACCTGCGCCATCTTTTACGTGGGCGGAATCGGTCGCTGCTAGACGCGCCTCCTTTTCCTAATGGGACACCGTAGGTTTCGTCTGGGCGTTTCCAATTTGCATGAATGTCTGTATACTTGGCTCCTAAAACAACGTGTGCCAGCTTACAGATTTTTTTTTTTTTCAAGACCTACTATTTAAAGATGCTGGCGAACCTATAAGGTAGACACATAGTGCAAGTTTTAATAGGAAAAGCTGTCGGCTCCTGGGGAAGCAGAGCAGAATTGGTGGTTGTAAACTTTTATTTGTTCTGTGCCTCTGAATCTACGTGAGGAATCATACTTCGTGTGTATAAAAAATATTTCATGAATGGAATTTTTCGCCTTGACTAATTTAACTGTAACTCCTTCCCAAGGCCTATTAGGTGATCTTCCCATGTGTAGTCAACACACTTTGGTCTTCAGTACCTGTAAAGAGTTTCTCAAGCTCATTTCTACTATTTGCGCAAAGTGCATAAATTCTTTTAACCTCTGAGAACTGTAACCATTATGCTTGATAACACTATGAGGTTTTCTTTTTTGGTCTGCAATTTACACATTCCAGTTTTCCACTGTAGGTAAGGAACTAAACATTTTTTTTAAGTCCTAAAAATCAAATAAGCATTTATCATTTGCAGAGAGGGAAAAAAAAAAAAAAGACTATGCAAAATACTTCTCTTGTATCTGTACTCTTCTTTTTTTCTTTTTTGTAGTACTGGGAATTGAACTCACGACCTCATACTTGCCAGGCTGGCATTTACGCTGCTGAACTAAACCCCCAGCCCTAGTAACAGACCCCTTACCACTCACTATTATATGCTTATTCACTAAGTAGTTACCATTTAGCAAGTACTTAACAGTATTTTGTGTATGTTCCTCAATCTATGTAAAGAATTGTACTTCATTTGTATACGGAATTGAAACAAAATTTTGAATACGTGTAAACAGTAAAATCATGATTAGGATACTGGGGCAGGAGTGGATGGAAGCCGCAGACCTAAGGGTGCTAATATTGACAGCTAAGTTAGGTAGAAATAGTGTAGGCAGTTAGGCCAGGCCCTCCAAGAGAGTCAGTGCAGAGGATGAAAATACATAACAATTGTGGCTGGAGATGCATCCATTGAAGGGCAGGCCTTAAGATAAAGATAAGTGACCAGGCCTACATGTCTCCCCAAGAGGTAAGCAATGTTCTGTAGTTGATATTAAAGAATATCCATTAAAGTCTGCATAGGTACGAGTTACCAGGGTGGGTGAGTGGGACCTCCTGATTTGTTTCTTCCAAAAGTGTGTGTTCTTTTCCTGGACACTTGCTATGTGACTTGCTTCCCCATTGGATCAACATTACTTAAACGTCTATATTTGAAATCTTGTTGGTTGGTTATAATTTTTGTCCTACATTACACCCACATTATAATTTTGCTTTATAAATCTTCTGAAAAATGGGCTCTGCCACACCTTCGTCAGGCTCTCTCCTGTCTCTGAGGAGCTGTCGCTCCCTCAAAGTTTCCTACTCTAACTCTGTTGTTCTTTAGAATTCATTCTTTGACTTTGGAGAACATGAGTTCGGTGTGTTGAATATCTAGCATGTTGAAAGTTATAATATTTCTCTTATATCACTTGGAGGTCATATATCATTTGGAGGCCCTGGATCACTAAGTTATATTTGTGTGAAAAGAGTAAGTCTAGAGACCAGATGTACAACATTAGGAAAATAGTTAATGCTGTATCCTGGAAATTAGCTTTAAAAAAGGTAGATTTTATGACAAAAATAGTGGCACACACTTACAATCCCAGCACTATGGGAGACCGAGACAGGATTGCAAGTTTGACCGAGCCTGGGCAATTTAATAACTTAGTGAGACCATTTCTCAAAATGAATAATAAAGACTGGGAATGTACTTCAGTCCAAATGCCCTGGGTTCAATATATCCCTTCCACACATTTTCGAGCAAAAAGTAGGTTTTTAGGAACCACCACACAGAAAAAAGGTAACTGTGAAATAATGGATATGTTAATTTGCTTAACTGTAGTAACTTTCTTATTGTATGTATATAAAAGCATCTTTAAGGGATCTCATTTTGTTTTAGTAGAGTAGGTAATGGGGTTCCAGGCCGTTCAGTTTTTTGTCCGAGGTCACCTACTTAATTGATTTGTGCCAATTTTGTGTTGTTCTGCAACCCACTGGTGGCTGAGGACATCAATCTGCTACCAGAATGAGGAAAGCTCTTCTTAGATAACATCTGTGGTATTTAATGTTAGCACCCCCATTTCAGAATGAGATTGGCACTTTGATTAAGTACTGTTATGGATTAAGAACTGGTGTTCAATTTAACGCCAGCTGGATTACATCAGCATGGCATTGAGCCAAGATGCTCCACCTGAGGAAAGTTGCCAGGCTAAATAGGTGGAGAAGAAGGGAGGTGTTGAGGCGTTAATGCGTTGTTGTGTGGAGGCATTGTGGGTTCTGTTACATGTGGTTATTTGAGCTGCTGGTTCTCCTGGAGAAGCTGTGGTCCTCACATTGAGCATTGCTTCCTGACTCCGGAGGGGAAGACGTGTCCTGCTTGGTCTCCAGGATGAACTTGTCATGCTGGCTTCTTGACATGTACCCAACTGTGCTTGTCGTTGAAGGAGCTCAGGGCCTCTGTGTTGCTGAGGATGGCTGTGGTGCCTTTCAGGACAGCCCTGGTTTTTGTTGTGAGTGTGACTTCTTGGCTCCGGCATAGAACCCTCATCCCACCAGCACAGCTTCTTCACCCCAGTGGCATGGACTTTCTGGTTTCCACAACTGACCTTTGGGCCTTCCTGGCACGGATCCGTGAAAGAGACTGGCATGAGTCCTTCTTGTGGGCTCTGGACTGCCAGTTGGACTCATGGGAGGCATTGTCCTGAGCTCTGGGTTTTTATCTGGACTCATGTGGGACATTACTGTGGGATTTAGGCTCTTGACTAAATATTCTGTGTCTTTGGTGTTATGGATAGATTTCCTGCATTTTCTTGTGTTAACTCCCAGTGACCATTATAAAAATAATATTATAAACTCTATATCCTGATTTTAATTGTTCTCTGCACAACCCCTAACTACAACAAGTACGTGAGAAAATAACAACTCCCCAGTATTTTCCTATTTAAAAATTTTTCTTAAAGAATAAGTTCCACTATCCACAACAGATTTCTGATTTTCTGTAGTGTTAACACTAGAACTGCTGTTTTGTAACAGAGAAATAATGAAACACCAAGGTCTCAGTTCCACATGATCATAAGAAATGAGATCTTTTAGTTATAAAAGTGGCTCTGTATGCATGATGTTTTGTGGCCAGTAACTATGAATCCTTTTCCCCACATCTAACTTGACAGTTATTTAATCTTTCTGTAGCAGTACAGTTACATGTATGTCTTTCATTGGATAGGAGGAAAAACAAAAAACATAAGAATGGAAACAATAATTATAATATAGTTTGGTGATCTGTAATACTTAGATTGCCTGAGAGTGTAAAATAGAAAAACTATTTTAGTACACATCCCTTTTTCAGGGGACAAAAAGGAAAATGATAGTATGTAATATATTTTAGCTGCAACCAAAGAGTGGATTGGAAGGACATTTACTTTTATCCCCTTCAAATTGTGTTCACCTGCCCAGATAAATCATTCCAAATACCAGTATAATCAGATGAAAATAAATTTTTGGAGAAGGACTGTTTCTTCAAACAAGAATCGTATCCCTTCGTTTCCAACCAGAATGACACATTTAAAGGCAATACGTAAAACTTTTAAAACTATCCATGTATGATGATCAGTCATACAGAATAGCTCTCCAACTAGGTAAACAGTAGGGCAGATTAAGAGATTTGAATGCTAGAATTTGAGCTGGTGCAAGTACTATTTCTGCTTTTAATCCTGAAACTTTGGGCAGTATTTCACTTTTGTGAACTTTAATTTCCTCAGCTGCAAATGCATGCATAATAATTTGTCAAAGACATATTGTGAGGCTTATGTGCAATCCAGCAAGCTAAGAATTTAGAAGAGTGTAGGGCTGGGAATTTAGCTCAGTGACATAGGTGCCTACCTGGCAAGCTTAAGGTTGTGAGTTTAATCCCTGGTACAAAAAAAAAAAAAAAAAAAAAAAAAAAGAATTTAGAACAGTGCATTCAGGAAGTAATGGCACTAATGCACTGATCTACTTAAGTAGATCAAGACACTTTAGTATCTACTCAAGAATATTTCAAGCCATAACCAATGATATAAGCCTTTTAAACTATGTACATATATATAATTCCAATAAATATTGTATCAGAACCGAGAGAACCTTGCTGCTGTGTTACAAATGCCAGCTGTTGTCAGGAAGCCTTTTCTCCATCCTCTATTAGTGTTGTTCCAAAAATGTCATATGTGCTGTTTCAAAACTGTGACGGACTCAGTGATTAGCTCCCATTTACTAAGATGTTAGCAAATTAGATTTCACTGTGACTGGTGTGTAAACAATGTGATGTTGGACACAGATGAGGAATGTTACTATATAAACCACGGTGCATTTAATGTCTTTGAAGTAATGAGAGTTTATGTGGTTGCCTTAATTGCTGACTTGTCAATATGCACT